TTGGTTTAATGTAATGTCGAAGCAAGTGCTGCACTACCCAGTTCATCTGTTCAACCTGACCGTTTGACTCAGGGTGGTTTCCTGATGTCATTTGTAGTCGAGTACCCATCTGTTGGGTCGTACTTTGCCACAGTTGACTAGTGAATCTAACATTCCTGTCACTTACAATAGACTTAGGGAGACCAAAGTCACGTACCCAGTTGTGCATAAATAGTTTGATGACGTGGTCAGTTCTAGTTGTCTCAGGCATAGCGATTAGTCTAGCATACTTCGTGAATCTGTCCCCAATGACAAAGATGTGCCGTTTACCGCTCTTGCTGGTCACAAGGGTATCCATGAAATCCATGGATACACTTTGACCTGGGCCATCAGCCCAAGCAGTGCCTGTGTCCGAGGCTTATCACGCCGACAAACTTGGCAAGTTCCTACGTACTTCTTTGCATCATCCATCATTGTGGGCCACCAAAATTTCTGCACTAAGTTTGCTGCTGTCTTTTTATAGCCAAAATGACTAGTCGCATTGTGACACTCTCCTAAAAATAGACTACACAAAACTCTCTATTCGGAACACACAATCGTTTATTCCCAGCCTTCTCAAGAAACAGCAAGCCGTCAACCAGCACAAACTCATCGAAAGTAGCCTTATCTTTACCTTCCAGTTTGCGAATGATCTCAGACATGACTGTGTCCTCTCGATAGGCTTCCACCATGGATCGAGTTACACCGTCAGCTATTCCAAACTCAGTTACTAGTGCGCCCAGATAGTCTATCCTGCGCGATAGTGCGTCAGCCACTTTATTTTACTCTCCCTATAGAGGTTCAAGTTTGAAGTCATACATGTCTATGACTTCAATCCACCTCTTAAGTGCGTCGGAGAGCACGGGTTGTATCTTGATCCAGCGCAGCATCTCATGGTCAGATCTTACATAAAAGAATCTTCCTAGGAGGTAGTGTCGCCAATGGACTAGTGCTCTATAGAGGGCATAGAGCTCACGCTCATACGTGGAGTTAGCTAACTTCCGAGATGACATCTTTTTGCTCATGTACTCGATCAGCCTCAACTTTTTCCCCTCCTTCTTCGCAAGGACTGCGCCTATGCCATATTGGCTGGCGTCTGTGGTCACAACAAAGGGTTGCTCAAGATCCGGAAGCTTGAGGGCTTCGTAGTGCGTCAGGGCATACTTCAACCTCTTGAAGGCTGCCTCACACTCTTCGGTCCACTCCCAAGGGGTGTCGAGGCATGAGAGCTCACCTAATTGGGAGGCTGTCGTGTTGTAATTTTTCACAAATGGACGATAATAGCCTGTCATCCCCAAGAATGATCTCACCTCAGTCACAGACTGAGATCTGGGCCAGTCACATATGCTGGCCACCTTAGCATCACCCGACCTCAAACCATCGACGAAAATCTCATTACCCAGATACAAGATCTTGGTGCGACAAAATTCGCATTTCTTCAAGTTGACCTTGTACTGGTGCTATCTTAGGAGACCTAACACTGTTTTCACGTGCTCAGCGTGCTCCTCTACAGTCTTACTAAAGATAAGAATACCGTCGAGGTACACAACGATAAACTTGTCTAAGTACTCATGAAAGATCCGGTTCATTGCGTGCTGAAATGTCCCAGGAGCATTGCATAGGCCAAAGGGCATCACCACAAACTCGTTCAGACCGTACCTGGTTTGAAAGGCGGTTCTGTGTTGATCCTCAGGTCTAATAGCAATCTGATGGTATCCGAACTTTAGATCTATCTTAGTAAAGTACCGGCATCCATGCACTCTATCCAAGATGTCGTCAATGCGTGGTAGGGGCTATGCATTCTTAACTGTGATGGCATTCAGGCCCTCTATAGTCAATGCACCTCCTTAGGGTCCCCACTTTCTTCGGAACAAACAAAATTGGCGCTCCGTAGGGGGACGTACTTGGCTGGATCCAGCCCTTCTCTGTGAGCTCCTTGAGCTGACGGCGGAGCTCATCTAATTTTGCAAGAGACATCCTATAGATTCGTTGTCTAGGTGCTCTACCGGGAACAACTTCTATCGCATGGACAATCTCCCTTTCCACCACGCCCCTAGGCTCCTCAAAAAGGTCTGAATTATGAGCAACGACTGCTTCTATCTCTGGGGGTGATTTTACCACCTCCCCTTTCTCAGAGACAAAGACTAAGTACATACCTTCCTCGCAATTTGCTTGTAGTAATAGAAAGACGACACACACATGCAACCATAGTTCTCCACTAGTTTGCTAGCCTTAAACTATTGTAGCCTAACAATCCTTCCATTTGGCAACTTGTGGATCATCACCTTCCTATCACAATCGAATTGAGGCTATCCAACCTCGCGGTAGTACATGCCTCGTAACATGTCGAATTGCAGTTCGTCCCTAACAAGGAATGGGATTTTATGTCTCAGTTCCCCTCCATAGGAGAAGGTGCAGACTACGTCCTTGACATAGTCTTTTTTACTAACATAGAGTGTTTGTTGGCTAAGGCGGATGCTACAGATCTGCTAAGCCGCTGCACTTGGTCCCCTAAGTGCAGCCTGTCCACACAAGCAGGACTGATGAAGTTTCGCGTAGAACCTATGTCTGCGAAGGCGCCAAACTTTCGGCCACCTACATTGACTTCTACCACGAAGTGTTAACCTTTTGGACCTTTGTTTAACATCGCCCAAGAGTCTCTAGGGTCCTTCTCGGACCACTCATTTTCTAACTCCTCTAAGGTCTCAGACACATCCATCAAACAAAGCATTGATTGGTCTAGATCTGTCTGACGAGCGATGACTGGGTCAATAGCCTTGGCGTTCGTCTGAAATGGAGAAGGTAAGGTTACCACTTCAGACTGAGTAAGAGCGGCTAACACTCCTACTGGCCCGAGTGTTCGGGATGGCGAGACTGCTGCTCTCCTGAGCTACTAGCGCGGTTGTTGGTTCTATCTGGTACCACCGAGAGCCACAACTGTTGAGTTTACGCCAAACACTGTTGTTGTATGCTGCTGCGATATAAGAAGAGTATGCCATCAATCATCTTATACACTGGGAAGGGTTCACAGTTCCTTTTCTGAGATTCTATTAGGTTGCCATATTCTGTCTTTAGCATACCCATCTCTGAGTTTATCTTTCAATTCGCTTCCAATATCGAGGTAAGTAACAATAGTTCCAAAGAAGTCAAATCTACGGGAGAGAGCATCAGCTACCACACTGTACTTACCCTTGATGGTCTTCAGCTCAAAGTCGAAGGTATCTATGAACGTAGACTATCGCGCTAGTTTATCAGATAGTCGTGGTTGTGTTTTGACTCTTGAGCCACTCTAGTGTTTCATGGTCTGAGTAGACCTTGAAGTGTCTGCCCAACAAATAATGCTTCCACGTAGTTATCGCCTCCAACAAAGCAAACAACTCTCTCTCATAGGTGGCATTAGCCACTTTCTCATAGGGTAGGGGGCAAGAGAAACGCAATTGGTATGTACCCCTTACCATCATTTTGCTGCAAGACTGCACCGATGGTGACGAAGAAGAGTGAGGGATCAACAATCTTGAGATCAAGGTAGTGAGTCGGCATACTTCATACTCACAATATTTATTCCATAGCCAAATAGTACCCTTCTTCAATAGCCTCCTCATTGGGGCTGCTATACTAGAGAAGTTCCTCACGAACTTCTGATAGTAGCTTGCCAATCCTAAAAAGGAGTGCAGTTCGTTAGGTTCCTTGGCTTAGGCCAATCCTTGATTGCATAAATTTTTCTCTCTTATGGCCTTAGTCCATCTTCGTTTACGACATGTCCAAGGGAATAAAACTTCGGATTTTGCAAACTCTAATTTCTTAGGGTTCAACTTGAAGTTACCCTCGCGCAACTTATGCAGGACCATTTGCAAATGTTTCTCATGGTCGTCCAACGTCTTGCTGTAGACGAGGATGTCGTCGAGATACACAACTACAAACTGATCGAGCCACTCACGAAATAGTTCATTCATTGACCGTTGAAAGGTTGCAGGGGCGTTTGTAAGACCAAAGGCATGACTACGAACTCATAGTGACCATACCTCGTTCGAAACGTCGTTTTGTGTTGATCCTCAGGGGCCACCTTGATCTGATGGTAGCCTTACCTCAAATTGATCTTGCTGAAATAGTTGCAACTCTGCAGTTGGTCAAGCAAATCATCGATCCGTGGAAGAGGTTCCACATTTTTTACAGTTATGGACTTCAGCCCTTGGTAGTCGATGCACAGTCTGAGCTCACCTTTCTTTTTGGGCACAAAGTAAGTTCCTGCAATTGTTTTCTTTAACTCTTCTCATTCCTGGGGGTACATGCGGTAAATCGGTTCTTTGGGAATCTTACTATCGGGAATTATCTCAATTGTGTGTTTTATAGTTCTCTCAATTACTCCTGCAGGTTCAGTTCGCAGGTCCTTATACTCACCAAGAAGTTTCTCAATAGAAGTAGGGTAGGAAGTAGAGCACTCACCCACATTCTTGACGAGTACCATCATCACTTCCTATACCAACTTCTTCTTCGTTACCATACTTTGAAAGGTAGGTCATGCAACAAAAAGACAGTGACGAGTCTGATCCAAATTTATGAAATAACGTTATTAATTTCATTTCTTGGTTTTCATTTCTTAGTTTAACAGTTTTTTCTTTGTACCGGATATCCCGATCGACCTCCTCAGGCCCATCCATCCTCAGAATCATGTCAAAGGGTAAGTTCTTCTCAATCAGAAATGGTACCTCATGTAGAATCTTCCTCTCTTCGTGAGTTCTAAAGTAACATTTCACTCTCCCCACAATGCGAGACTGTTATGGTGCTTTGGTTTGCAAGCATTGACACGACAGGCCTAAGCAACTCTATGACCCTCATACCAAGATGCATCTTCTTGATGGCTTTTTCGGATATGTAGGACCTAGTTGACCCAGAATCAAGTAAAGCACCAATCTGTGTTTAGCAATGTCCACGTGTGCAAGCATCAATTCGCCTTTGTTTTTGGCTTTCTTAGCCCATGAACTTCTCAGATTCACTATTTGTTTCCAAGTTCCTCAAGGGACTCACCCAGTGAGACTCCACACAACACATGTTCAAGGCAATATGGGTGAGGGTTTGTCATGCCCGTTGGAGGGCTCAAAGGGTTTTGGGGCGCCACATCATTATCCAAACCTTCCAGCTCAGCAGGAGCAAATGCTACTCCTACTGGCCACTCCCTTTTGGGTTCCGAATCAAGGGACACCATGCAATGATGTGTCCCTCAGTGCCACACTTGAGGCACTGGTGATTGTCCATTCGATCCTGCCACACCTTCTGCGTTATGTTCATTTTCTCCCAGGATTTCCCCGAAGCTATGCCAGGATGTTCAGGAAAGGGGCGTGCCCTCTTCTTCCATACTCCTCCATTGTAGGTGTCACCCTTGTTGGCCACCACGGTAGTGATGTCACCATTTCCCCACTCGTTGCCGTTGCTGAACCCACCCTCGGTTTCCTCGAGGGGCCACCTGTCCATCATCTCATCGTCAAAAAGGACAAGGAGGTGGTCCTATCGTTTCTGTCTCCATAGAATTCTTTTCCCGTTCCCACCTGACTGCCCCCCCCTTACAACACTTAACATACGAGCCTTTGCTCTCGCTGAAGAGCAAGGTCTCAAAATTGCTGATAGTTATACTTCCCTGACTTTGCCTCAGCCACAAGTTGACCCCTTATTGGTTCAGGCAGAGGCGTGAGAAGTTGTACAATAATTGGTTGTCTTGGAGGTTCACTCCAGGTACTTGCAGGAGACGATCAACTTCTAGAGACAAAGTATCCACACTTGTCAAACGCTTTTGCCCCATCGTGGTTAGTTCGTCGAAGGCCTTGTCGGCGGTCGTCTTCTCGAGGAATCTCTCTTGTATTTTCCGAAGAAATTCCCGTAGAGTCATTGTCTTTGCCTAGTCGTCGATGTCTTCGAAGCCAGCAGCGTTGGGCTCAGACAACACCCATTCCTTGGCAACTTCCCCAAGGCAAGAAGTGGAGAAAGCCGCCTGGCTATCTTCGACGACAGGGGTGGTCGAACAATATGTCTAAATCTCGGCAATCCAAACCAACAAATGCTCTCCTTTCTTTCCGTTGTAGGTAAAAGGCAATGTCATTTTCACCTTTTCTTTCCTCTTTGGTTTCTCCCCTTCATCTTCTTTCTTTGTCGTTCCATTCTTGGGAGATTCAGGTTCTTTGGGTAAACGGGTTTTCATGACGTCCTTCATTAATTTCTTCGGTGGTTCTTTCTTTTTTTATTCTCTCTCTTCTTGCACCACCTTGTTCTTTCCTTTAACAAGTCTGGTCAGTGTCTCTAGTTCGGCGGTGACGTGATCAATTTCGGTTTCCATATGTGCAAGATAGGCCATCATGTTCTGCATTACGGACGCCAAATGAGTTTCTGAACCAATATTAATTTTCTGTTTTATTTCTTCAACTTTTCGTTCCTGCTGTTTTTTATCTTTTTGTCGTCTCTGATAGGCTTCCTTCTTCTTTATCTCTGCTTCCAAAGCATTTTGCAGTTGCTTAATGGTGACATCTGTAATCTTTTCACTCAATTTTGGTTCTTCTTTCTTCTCACTTGGTTCCTTCTTCTGTTCCTCTTTGATTTCGAGCCCCACTATCTTTGCAAACTGTTCGGCAACGAAACGATCGAGGCTCATACGAGCTCGATCAATGGTTATTGCACGCCTCCCAACAGCAGTTTCAGCCTTCAATAGTTCATCCTCTGTGGCACGTAGATCGAACTGGCTGTGTGCATGCTGTTCAGCATCTGGACCAGCGTCGTGCAACTCGATGATCAGTTGGCGAAGACGGCCCAGCATTTGCTGCCGTTTGTCATCAATTTGTCCTCCACTTCTTCTTGATCAGCAAAGCAAGTGAAAGAGATGGGGAAGGGAAGAAGAAGAGAGGGATGAACCTAGTCAGGATGGATGTCCACAACCAAGTCCAAAGGTTTTGCAAATGAGAATGTCGCACAATGAACTTAAAAAGCCAGTTGTAGATTGCACGGCCTCAATACAAACGGGTTCTAGTAATACAGCAAGAAATGAAGAAATAAAAGAATTAAATGCAGGATCGGAATTTCTCCAAATTTCTAAGTTTATTATCTGCTAGTTTTGACGGATGATGTTTTACTCTAAGAGACTGTGCAGGTTCCGCAGCCACGACCAGTGAGATCAAGACAACACACACGATGGCGAGTCCGCAGCCATCCATAAGACAGCCCACAACAGGTAAGTATAGAGAACCAATCAGCAACACACCCAAACAAACAACTGTTAGCTTCTCTCCTTTGCTGTCTTCTTGCAGATAGCTGTGTGACCAGACACATGCCCTGGCCCGTGGCACTACAGCATAATCTTGTGCTGAACCGAAATACTACTTGGAGCACGTGAGCAGTGGAATACCACTCAGAATCGTATCTGCTCACTGGAATGCCACTTGGAAAATGCCGCGTCAACCTGTGTTACTCGCTGTTTCCTCAGGAAGGTGCCACATCAGCACCTATGTGCGCTGCCACCTCAGTAGGCAGCGTGCCATGTTAGCAAGAAACACCTCTGGAGGAGGGGAGTTCAATAGCAGTATCAAGCCTGCCATGTCAGCAAGCCACTACCAGCGTCAGCGTCGAAGGAATATCGACGTCAGCGGGTATGTGTCTTCCCTCCTCCCCCTTCCACGTCAGCACTCTCTCGCCAGTCTCTTCCCCAGTGCCACATCAGCGAATCTCGCGCCAACAGGCACTGGGTATACCAGCCAGCCGGTCAGTTATCAAGCAGCAATAGGAATAGACAACGCCGCTCTTCTCCTCCACGGTCGACACTTCAGATCCTCGTCATTATCATCACCATCATCATCATAGTCACGCACAATGTCTCAACCAGCAGATAGCGAGGAAGGAAGATGTCGCTCTGATGCCGAATTGCAATGAACACAGACATATGAGAAGCTCGTGAATGTCGAAATGCAAGTCTGACAAAGCGCAGCATTAATGTCTCTAAAAAGCATTTATGAAACCATGCCCGTCGTACATGTAGTCTCCCAATGTCTCAAACTCAAAGAAGAGAATGAGGAGAGGGGGAGAAGAGACTGAGAGGAGGAGTAGGGGAGTGTTCACAAGTATCAACGCACGTGACGTCACAGGTAAGTCCAGGTAAGCTTCTCCTCATCACACACACCAATCTCACAGTCCTGATCCTCCTCTTCCTCTCCGACACTCCTGCCAATGTCGAAATCAATGTGGCTATGGCCACATCAGCATAATCTCCCTCAAGGCTGACGTCCACACACAGAATCTGGCGCCAGCATAAAGCTCCAGCAGCCTTGCATCGTCGCACCAGCAACAAGCCAGCGCCAGGCAGAATGATCTCCAAGCAGGGGCTGGGTCAACTTATACGGTTGACTTACGTTGACCAGCCTCTGGCCTCAACTTATACTGTCGACTCACGTTGACCAGCCTCTGGGCTCCTGGGGTCAACGGCCCAGATCAATCGGAAGCCAATGGCCTGGATGCTGTACAGTTGCAGATTTCCCACGCGTCCCACTTGGACCGGATTCTTCTGGATACCTGCAGACAACCAACGATGCGCATTTGATCTGCAGTCGTGTCTGACCAGCGGGTTGACTTTGACCTTTGGGGGTTGACTGTCGACTTTCTTAAAGTCAACTGTTCCTCATAGGGCCTCTGAATGCTGGTTTCGGCCCTCCGCTGGGTACCCCTTGGCCTTAGGCCTTTGCCCAGGCCCTTCTTAGACTTAGGGCGTGACTTTTGACCCCTGTGCCAGGCCTTTGACCAAAAGTGACGACCTAGAGCCCACAGCTTATGCAGATTCAAGCCGAGTTACTGCAATGGGCATACTGAACATTAAACAAGACATTATGGCCATGAAACATTGTGATGTGATACTCTGATAAACATTGTTGGTCATGCAGCACAGACTCATGATGGCAAGATGTGTACCAATGGGCCTATCTCAGTTGGTACACCCTGAACTGTTGAGATACAGACCTGAGTTTGAATCCAGATGGAACTAGATTGAAATTCTTAAATTACCTGGGCCAGTCAGATCACGAGTGATATCTCGAGGCCTTTGCCCTTTTCTATAAGCGCGAAAAGGAGAGGGAAAAAAACGATGTTGTGATGTAGTCCATAAGAACACACAAGATAAGCCAGCTCAGCTCTGCCCGCGAGAGTTAGGCTTGTGGAAGTCATTGCATTTGGTATACAATAAAGGAAATGAAACAGGTGATATAAGTGAGTGTGGACGGGTGATGAACTCCTCAAAACAGCGTTGAGGAAATGAAACAGGTGGTCTGAGTTCCACATGTTAGTAAGGACCTACAATTTGTCGGAATGGAGCGGCCAAAGCATAACCAGCTCTTACAATGAAGATGATCTGTTAGGCCAGGGATAATCACGCAGGTCAGGGAATAGGATGGGACTGCCCGTCAGGGAGCTGGTTAATGGTAAGAACTAGCCTTCTGCATGTTGGTGCTCCCTCCATGTAGTTTTCCTATATTCATTGGGCAATATGGGTGTGCATAGCCAGAAGTCACGGACGAGACATAGACACATACACACACACACACACACACACACATGCACAGACGAGCAATGGCTTTCCAGAGTGATAGGTGTACCGAGAGTCTCGCCGGCATTTGTCAAGGACTGTCGTTCACTGAATAGTGTCAACGAACAATGGCAAACATCCAGTACAACACAGCCACTGCTCAGGCACTAAAAAGTGGATAGGACAGTGATAGGAATTGCGTGTGAGATGTACATACCTCCAGCTGTGTACTAACGCGCTCGATGCGTTGCAAACTTTGAGGAAGATTTGCTGTGAAGGAACATCTTGGGGATGGTACCGAACATTTGTTAGGAAGAAGACAAAAGTCGACAAAAAATTCTTTCGCAATTGGGACAGAGTGAGCACGAAAAGGAAAACTGGGTATGGTGACAAATTCGACTCAACCAAAAAACTGCAAGATGTAGAAGAAGAAGTGGTAACATGTGTCATTCAAAGAGCAGAACAGAGCATGTTGAAGATGATTTATTGTTTTGCAGGACAACAATGTCTTAAATGCAGGTCACAGGAGAATGATTGTTACAGCATTCTATTGATATGTCTCTTATAACCCTGCATCACATTCCAAACCCAGGAGAGAGTGTATCTTGAGAATGAGCGGAAAAACATTGACCCGCTAGTATATCGTAGAATTGCGGCAGTGCTCCCAGTTTCTCTCTATGACTCCTAGACTATCACTCATGTTGTCCTTTTGCTCTCTCTCTCTCTCTCTCTCTCTCTCTCTCTCTCTCTCTCTCTCTGTGTGTTTGTGTTTGTTTGTGTGTGTGTGTGTGTGTGTGTTTGCTCGAGCCCATTTTTTCTTGTTCTCTCTCTCTAGTCCATGGGATGCCAAGTGAAGTCGATGAGGTTCAGGCTGCTGAGAAGATCGGACAGATAGAATATCTGCATCATGGCAATGATGCTTGATGACACTGTCATGAAGCTCCCTGTGGACAAAGTGAACCGCGCAGTTGCTCATGCAGTGCAATGTAGGAGGCGGCAGCCATCTTGTATTGGTCGAAAGTCGTGACATCATCGTGGCCTTGGCGATAGTATTACTCAGCATACATCACAGCTTCAAGAGCACTCCATTTGTCAGTGTTGTCAACCTTCGTACCCAGCACCGTACTTATCTGTTGCAACAATGCAACCTGTGATTGGCATCAGTCATTGACAGTGCATTGATTGCTTGCAAAGGGTGTAGAGAAGAGAGTGGTTTGAGCCAGTCAGTGTCTATTGAAGGTGGAGGCAGAGATTCGACGGGAGGAGGAGCAGGGCTTTGCTGTGATTGCATCAGTGGAAATGAGAAAGGCAGTGGAGTCACTGGCAAGAACAGACCGCATCGAACATGATGAGGAGCAGGTGGGGGAGTGGAAACTTTTGGCATGGGTTGGTTTGTTGGGTTTGGAATCCAGAGGCGGGGTTCTTGTTGGTGACCTCCACCAGACCAGACTGTGATTCGATTTCGCGTGTGCGTCACTGAATGTATGCTAGGGAAACCCAATGTTTCTCCTCGAGCGATTGGACAGGACTTGCTGCAAGCTCTGGTGTACGGGTTGTCAACCCTGCATTCCTTTGGAAGTTGATCAGCAAGGAATTCATGTTTGGCGTACCTAAATCTTTCAAATGGCACATAATCGTCATGCAAGATGTTGCTGTACTCAACGATAAGTCCGCATAATCAGGGATAGAGGAAGAGTGCTGTATTCCCACTCGAGAATCCTTAGGATAAGTACCTGTGGATCGTCCATATTGCCATTATCTGCAAAACATTTGCCGGACACTGGAGGAAAGCACGCTCGATGGCTCCTCTGGCCAGCAGAAAATCTTGCCAAATGTGTTCAGCTGGCTCGACACCTGGCTGATCGAAGAAATGCTGAAACAGCATCCCACCAACGTTGTCCAGAATGTCTGACCACAGTTTGAACTTGTGAATAAGATTGGGATCAAGCTGAACTGTGTGATCTCTATCTAACCAGATAGGACTGCCCCACCAGTTCAACTCATGCCAGACAATAGTGCCTGTCGGCAAGAATCCGTTCCTCATTGCAGGCACAGGCTTTTGTGAGCCGCTTGCATCGAATGCTGGCCAGGTGGCCTTGACGAGTGCAGGGGGGTAGGTGTAGGGCAATGCGATGTCTTTCCATGCACTGATGATGGGACTGGGAGGGTCGTGCTTGGTCTCTGTCCTCATCGGCAGAGCACGACTGATTCGCCATTCTTGGGAGAGGGTTATGTGAGCTGGTTGCAAGATGGAGTGGGTGCTGCCAGGCGTCCTCAAAGTTGAGATGGGGGTAGATGAAGGGCAATCCGTCATGCTCACATGCAATGCATGATTGGACTGGGGTTCGCTGTTCTTATTAGCAGAGGGTGTCGGATCACTCATTCCAGGTAGAGAGTTGTGTGAGTTGGTTGGAAGATGCATCGGCTGCTGGTGAGGCGCCCTTGACGTAGGCAGCGAAGTAGATAAAGGGCAATGCAGTTTGCTCTCATCGAATGCATGATTGGACTTTGTCGTCATCAGCAGGGAGCGTTGCATTCCTCATTCTTGGCAGAGGGTTTTGTGAGCTGCTTGCAAGATGCATGGGGTGCAGGTGAGGTGTACTTGCAGTGGGCAGTGGGGTAGTTGTAGGCCTATGCGGTGTGCTCGCATGCAATGAATGATCGAACGGGGTGGGTGGTGCTTGCACTGTCTGCTTATCAGCAGAGGTCGCCGGATTGCGGACGGGATGACCGTTCTCACCTTGTGGGTCCGTTTGCAACCTGTTGTTTGTATGCTGATCCAGTGCAGGATGTTGGGAGCTGAGTGTGGTTTAGGCATTGATGAGTTTGGTCGCTGTTCTTTGGGGTCTGATGGAGAACGTTGCTGGATGTCAACAGATGGACGATAAGGAGTTTAGGTGTGCGGTGACGGAGTGGTGGACGTCTCTGGAGGGGTGCTGCTGGACATTCTGCGTCTGCGGTGTTTTGATCCTCGCTTGCGAAATGCTGCCGGAGACTGTGGTTGCGTATCAAGGTCTTCGTCCAGCGAGCGGACATCATCGGTGTCGCACAAAACATCGACATCAGTGGACGCGGAATGTGGACTCTGCTGATGGCTTCCACATTGCTCACGTGCCATTCGGGAGTTGTTAGACTGTTCAGTGTACTGTGATGTCTGTTCTGGAACCTGTCGCAGTGGAGCAAAGGGGGAAAATAAAAGCCACAACAGAGCAGACGAAAGACAAACAAAATTGTGTCAGTAAGCATGATTGCCGTGAACTTCACTTCTTGACTCAAGTCATACCAGAAGCTCCTTGTACACAACATTCCTTGTCCTTGTGGACCCGCCTGGAATAGCAACACGAATATCATCAGGATGGCCTGCACGGGACAGACCGGCGTACAATTGTCTGTGGCCAAAAACTGATTTTTCCAAGTACAACCCAGCTCAGGTAACACTCTGGCCTTACGACTTGTTGATTGTGATTGCAAACACAACACTAATTGGGAACTTCCTGCGTTTCCAGAGAAAACCGGCGGAGTCCTCTGAATCAAGAGTCAGGCAAGGGACGACTGCAATTTTGCGACTGGCCAGGATTGCTGCCTCAATGAGCCGTCCTTGGATCGTTTTGTTGACAATAAGCCGAGTACCATTGCACAATCCCATATGGCTGCACAAATTTCTGAGCAGCATGATTGGGATGCCGTCCTTAACGCGGAGAATGTGCAGTGGCAAGCCTTAGCAATCAAGCTTGTTGAGGTACTTGACAGTAATATTCAGACCCAAGGAGTCCAAGGGCGTGCTGTCGATAGACAGGTTAATACCGTTATCTCCAGGGAGGTCATCCATAATTAGGTTATTGATAAGATAAGCCGCATCCTTTTTAGGACACAACACTGCCTGACAGATACTCGTGATCATTCAAATGCTGAGTGAGGTCGGGTGTCCAACCAATGATATCTGGAAGATTTGTATCAATGCATATTTCCTCAGGGAGGTCAATTGCCTCTGGATCCTGAGGATCAACAACAGTGTGTTGTCGATCACCTACTTGCAGGGTTGCATCCCCGCCGACCGCTCGGGCCGACCGCCGACCGTATTGTACCGACCGATCGGGGTCGACCGGTCGGCGGTAGCCGACGGCTCGGCTCTGTACTGCGCTTGCTGAGTACAGCCCAAATCCGCTGAGAAACTTTGGTTTCGGGGTGGGGGGGGGGGTGTGTCTGGGGGGGATGGGGGGTCTTCAGGGGGGTTTAGGACCTTATTAATATTTATTTCAAACCCCCTGCGGGTTATCCGAGAGGGCCCTACACACAATCAGCAAGGGCCACGTTACCATGAACGAGGAGGTAGTAGTCATTTCCATAATGAAGGCATGGCACGCCAAGTATATATGCTGTTGATTCACTTTAAGGTCCGTGTTTCAGCAGTTACGGGACCACTGAGCACGCGAGTTTCTGGGCAATAGCAGGCCAACTCACCACGTGCTTTTCAGGGCTTCCCTCCACTAAAAATGTGCAAAACTAGAATGAATCTTCTGCTAGAACATGGAACCGTACGCCGCCATATGTTTTGTCTTTTGTGCAAGTGGTGACGAGTGAAGCAAGGCCCTTAGGGACACTTGTCGTAGTGAAAGGAAACAAAAGAAAGAGGGGAATGAATCTTCTGCTAGAACATGGAACACATACGCCGCCATATGTTTTGTCTTTTGTG